TTTTTTTGAGACGGAGTCTCGCTCTTTCACCCAGGCTGGAGTGCAGTGGTCCTATCTCAGCTCACTGCAATCTCTGCCTCATGGGTTCAAGCAGTTCTCAAAGTGCTGGGATTACAGGCATGAGCCACTGTACCTGGCCATGTTTTGAGGATTAAATGAGGAAATGTTTGTAAAATTCCTGATTTTTTTTTTTAAGTGGTCAAGTGCAGTTCACACCTGTAATCTTAGCACTTTGGGCGGCTCAGGTGGGAGGATCACTTGAGGCCAGGAGTTCAAGACTAGCCTGGGCAACATAGGTCTTTTTGAAACTTTGTATTTCAAAAAAAAAAGCTGTCAAGGGTGAGACCCATGACTCTGTGTTTTAAACAAGCTTCTCAGGTAGTTTGAAGCACATTATCAACAGACACACTTCGAGAAATGCACTACCCTTGGGTCCTTAGTTCCAAGTATAGTTTTGCTAGTAAATAGGTTATAGCATTAATTTTTAGCATTTCCACTTTCTGGGCCTTATGTTTCTTCAAATATAAAATGAATGACTGAACTCGATGTTTTTTTACTAGCTATAAAATTAGAAAACTTTGGTTTTAAAAATTATTATTTTTTTTAGTGATGGGGGTCTTGCTGTGTTGCTAAGTCTAATCTTGAACCCCTGGGCTCAAGAGATCCTCCTGGCTTGGATTACAGGAATGAGCCCCTGCACCTGACCCTATTTTATTTTATTTTTATTTTTATTACTTTGTTTATTTTGAGACGGAATTTCGCTCTTCTTGCCCAGTCTGGAGTGCAATGGCATGATCTTGTCTTACTGCAACCTCTGCCTCCTGGGTTCAAGCGATTCTCCTGCTTCACTCTCCTGAGTAGCTGAGATTACAGGTGTCCACCGCCATGCCTGGCTAATTTTTTTGTATTTTTAGTAGAGACAGTGTTTTGCCATGTTGGCCAGGCTGGTCTTGAATTCCTGACCTCAGGTGATCCACCCGGCTTAGCCTCCCAAAGTGCTGAAATTACAGGTGTGAGCCACCGTGCTCAGCCTGTGTTTTATTTTTAAATTTCTATTTATATTTTAGATTCAGGAGGTATGGCAGATTTGTTATAAGGGTATTGTGTGGTGCTGAGGTTTGGACCTCTATTGATTCCATTACCCAGATAGTGAACATACACAATAGGAAGTTTTTTAGCCCTTGCCTACCTCCCTCTGTCTGTTGTTCCCATCTTTATGTTCATGTGAACCCAAGATTTAGCTCCTAGTTATAATTGAGAACATGTGATATTTGGTTTTTTGTTTCTGCATTAGTTCACTTAGAATAATGGCTTTTAGCTGCATCTGTGTTGCTGCAAAGGACATTATTTCATTCTTTTTTGTGACTGCAAAGTTTTTGTCTTATAACCCTAAATTTTTTTTGAGACAAGGTCTTGCTCTGTTGCCTAGGCTGGTGTGCAGTGGCACTGTCACAGCTCACTGCTGCCTCAAACTCCTGGGGTCAGGCAATCTTCCTGCCTCAGCCACCTGTGTAGCTGGGACTACAGGCATATGCCATCATGCCTAGCTAATTTTTACTTTTTTTCGTAGAGACAAGGTCTCACTATGTTGCTCTGGCTGGTCTCAAACTCCTGGGCTCAAGCGATCCTCTTGCCTTGGCCTCCCAAAGTGCTAGGATTACTGGTATGAGCTACTGCAGCCAGCCAACCCTAAATTTTTGTTCTTGTGGATGTAAATATTTGGTCTGGTGGTGCTGATGCCACTTTTTGGCACCGATTTAATGGAAGTACTTAAATGTTTCGTTATTTGGGAACTCAGAGTATTCTTCCTTCTTTGAAGGCTGTGGTAGAACTAGATTAAGCAAAAATATTCAGGGAGATCTCATGGAACCTCAGGATGCAGTTAGCCTTAAGAATTGGAGATTAGAGCAGAATAGGGAAATGTTTTCCCCTGCAAATTGGCCTCAATCCCTTGACTTCTTCTGCCTTCCAGGCGGTATTATAGAAAATGGCCTTGGCCAGCAGCTCCTGAGTTTACATGGCTTCCATTTTGGAAAGCTGCCATTGAGACTGGAATATCTTAATTCCAATTGCAAATAGCCAGGAAGGTAACTGTGGTTGTATGCACTGGGTACAGTGCTGACTTCTGGCAATGTCTAAGAAGGCAGACTCATGTTGTTAAGATGGCTCTGGGATTCTTGCCACTTTTCTTTGAGTTGCAGGGCTTGGTTGGAAGTGGTAGTGGTAGACTGGGTAGGTAGCCACCTCCTTTATGAAAATATTTCACTAATTGAGGAATCACAATGTTGTATTTTGCATAGAACCCTTCCTTACAGTTGAGTCTCATGGAAAAAAGTAGAAATAGGGAGAGACAGGCTAAAAGAAAAAGTAGGCTTATGCTTTTATTCTTAGTTATGTACCAGATGGGACGGAGCCTTCTATAGTTACTTCTACTGGACTGTGCTGTTTCATCAACAGTGAATTTTTAGATTGCTTTTAGATATAGTTTTCCTTTTTTAAAAATTATATAATATATAATCTTGAAGTCTCCTTGTAATCTTTGTTTTATATATTTGGAATTAATTTTTCAAATAAAAAGAAAATTATATGAGGCTATAAAAGGCATTGGTAAAAAGAAGCAGACAGGCTTTGCATTTTAATTTTTTTTTGTTTTGTGTTTTTGAGACAGTGTCTCACTCTGCTGCCCAGGCTAGAGTGCAGTGGCATGATCTTGGCTCACTGAAACCTCTGCCTCCCAGGTTCAAGTGATTCTCCTACTTCAGCTTCCTGAGTAGCTGAGATTATAGGTGCTTGCTACCATGCCTGGCTAATTTTTATATTTTCAGTAGAGATGGGGTTTCACCGTGTTGGCTAGTCTAGTCTCAAACTCCTGACCTCAAGTAATCTACCCGCCTAGGCCTCCCAAAGTGCTGGGATTACAGATGTGAGCCACTGTGCCCAGCCTCCATTTTAATTTTATCTCTGCCTTTTAGTGACTGATTTTTTTATCTCTCTGTGAAATGAGCATAATAAGCCTTATATCATGGATTATCTGAGAATCAATTGTCATGATGTGTGTCAAGCTCTTATACTATGTTTCCTAGACAGTAGGTGCTCAATGAATGATAGATATTATCATTGTTATTTTGTTACTTGGAATGTAATTGGTGATCTTTATGATATTCTACTCATGGCAAAGACTGACTGTATCTTGGGCTCTAAATATATCAGTGTTATTTGAGGGTAAAGACATAAAGCATTTTTTAGATCTGAAAACCAAGAACTAGAATGTGAAAGGAAATATTTTTGCATTGAGCATTTAATGCTATGTATTTATTCATTAAAGAATTTAAATGGAAATTTTTTTGATCTCTTATTTAGTGTCAAACCAGAAGAGAAGTAAAATTCAGCAAAAATTTATATGTGGAGTTCCTTCTTAAAAGAAGAAAAAGGTGATTATTGAGACTATGGATCGGAGCAAACGGAATTCAATTGCGGGATTTCCTCCACGTGTAGAGCGTCTTGAAGAGTTTGAAGGAGGTGGTGGAGGAGATGGAAATGTGAGCCAGGTCGGAAGAGTTTGGCCATCTTCATATAGAGCTCTTATAAGTGCCTTTTCCAGACTGACGCGTTTGGATGATTTCACCTGTGAAAAAATAGGGTCTGGCTTCTTTTCTGAAGTGTTCAAGGTGAGTGATACTTCAGCTTTTCTCATATTGTCTTGCTGTGGTCACATTTACTGCAGGTTGATAGTTGTGTTTAATTAGGATGTAGGATTTGCCTAATCAAGGTGCTGTAGATTGAACACTGTTCTAAATTCTCTTTTCAAGCTATTTATTAACTTACATTAAGATATTTTGTTTGGGCTGGGCACGGTGGCTCGAGCCTGTAATCCCAGCACTTTGGGAGGCCGAGGCGGGTGGATCACGAGGTCAAGAGATCAAGACCATCCTGGTCAACATGGTGAAACCCCATCTCTACTAAAAATACAAAAAATTAGCTGGGCATGGTGGCGCGTGCCTGTAATCCCAGCTACTCAGGAGGCTGAGGCTGGAGAATTGCCTGAGCCCAGGAGGCGGAGGTTGCGGTGAGTTGAGATAGCGCCATTGCACTCCAGCCTGGGTGACATGAGTGAAACTCCGTCTCAAAAAAAAAAAAAAAAAAAGATATTTTGTTTGAATCCCAAAAATAATATGTGCTGGTTAAAAATTCAAATTGTATAGGAGTCTCTTCCACCTCACCTTTACCCCTACCCACACATGTGTATATGTATCCACACATACATTCTTCAGTAATAACCACTATTAACAGTTTGGTGTGTATACTTCTGAACTCTGTGCTTATACATACATCATACACACACCTTATATACATAAAGATTATATATATATATACACCCACATATATAGTTTTTGTTTGCTTATCTTTGGTAAAATTGATAGCTGGGTATAGCGGCATTCAACTGTAGTCTGAGCTACTCAGGAGGCTCGCTTGAGGCTATGAGTTCAAGAGCAACCTGGGCAACATAGCAAGGCTCTGTCTCAAAGAAAAAGAGCCCTTAATGCTCCTAAGCATTCGTATTTCCCTAGTTCACATCCTCCCTCAGGAGGGTCTTTTCTTCTCTCGTCAAATCCCAGTATTTCCTCTCTCGTCCTTATTGTCAGTAATTAATGAATTGCTTCCTAATTCACTGAAAAAATTGAAGCAAGTAGAAGAGAACTTCCACAGACTCCCATTACTACAAATAGCTATCCACACACATCTTTACACCGTTATTTGGCCCTTATACCTTGTGCTATGGATCAACTACCCATGCTCCTAAGTTCATTATTTCTGTTTATATTGTACATCCCATTTCTATTTGCCTGCTGATAGGCATTGCCTAAGAAATTCTCCCCTCTCTTTTCTGCATTGTATATTCACTACTAAGTATTCCCATTAGCATGTTAAAAAATTCTTTTAAGGAAAAAAAACCGTTTTGGCTTTATTATTTATTTTATTTTATTTTTTGAGATGGAGTCTCACTCTGTCACCCAGGCTGGAATGTAGTAGTGCAATATCGGCTCACTGCAACCTCTGCCTTCCAGGTTTAAGCAATTCTCCTGCCTCAGCCTCCCTAGTAGCTGGGATTACAGGCCCTATAACCACACCTGGCTAATTTTTATATTTTTAGTAGAGACAGGGTTTCACCATTTTGGCCAGGTTGGTCTTGAACTCCTGACCTCAAGTGATCCGCCTGCCTTGGCCTCCCAAAGTGCTAGGTTTGCAGGTGTGAGCCACTGTGCCTGACCTATTTTATTAATTTATTTTATTTTTTGAGACAGGGTCGTGCTCTGTCACCCAGGCTAGAGTGCAGTGTGGTGTGATCATGGCTCACTGCAGTCTTGACCTCCTTGGGCTCAGATGATCCTCCCACCATAGCCTCCAGAGTAACTGGGACTAACGGTGCATGACACCATGCCTGGCTAATTTTTGTATTTTTTGGAGAGATGGGGTTTCGCCTTGTTGCCCAGGCTGCTCTCAAACTCCTGGGCTCAAGTGATCAACCTGCCTCGGCCTCCCAAAGTGTTGGGATTACAGGCAAGAGCCACCATACCCAGCCCCTATTGTTTCTTTTATTAATAGCTGTACTTTCCTATGTCTGTTATTTTTGGACCGAAACAGCTCCAGAATTGTCTCTACATACCTTCTCTAAAATACTTTTTATCGTAGTAAAATGTATATAACAAATTTATCATCTTAGTCATTTTTTAAGTGTACAGTTCAGTGTCATTAATTAATTACATTTATAATGTTGTACAACCATGCCCATTATCCTTTTCCAGAACTTTCTCATCATTCTAAGTGGAATCTCTGTATCCATGAAACATTAACTCACTAATTCTCCCATCTGTAACTGTAAATAGGTTCATTACCCAATGCACATAGCAAGTCAATAAGCTGAAAAATCAGGTTGCAGCAGAGAAAGGTTTAATCATAGGGCCACCGAATGAGGAGATGGAGGGAAACCTCAAATCCATCTCCCTAGAAGTTTGGGGTTAAGGTTTTTAAGGGTTTTGTAGTGGGCCAAACTGTGGCAATTGTTTACTGGTTAAAGAGTACAGGGGAAGTCATAATATCTTCTACTTTCTGTTTTTATGAATTTGCTTATTCTAGGTACCTTATGTAAGTAGATTATATAATATTTATCCATTTGTGTCAGAGTTAATTCACTTAGCAAAATGTTTTCAGGGTTATCCATGTTGTAGCATATATCAGAATTTCATTCTGGCTAATATTTTATTATATGTATATGTCATATTTTATCTGTTTGTTGATGGTGGAGTTGTTTCCACCTTTGGACTATTGTGAATGATGCTGCTATGAATATTGATATACAAGTATCTGTTTGGTTCTCTGCTTGGAATTTTTTTGGGTATTTAGCTATAAATGGAATTGCTAAGTCGTTTGAGTACTTCTATGTTTAACTTTAAGAAAAGACTATGGTAAAATACATATAAAATTTACAATCTTGGCTGGGCATGGTGACTCAAACGTGTGATCCCAGCAGTTTGAAAGGCCAAGGCGGGAGGACTGACTGAGCCCAGGAGTTTGAGACCAGCCTGGGCAACATGATGAAACCCTGTCTCTGGGGAAAGAAAAAAACAAAACAAAACAAAACACATTTTTTTTTCTTACCATCTTGATAGTATTTAAGTATGTTAAGTACATACGTAACAGTTGTGTTACGTATGTACACGTGGTTGTGCATCCAAACTCCAGAACTTTTTCATTTTGCAAAACTGAAACTCTGTACTCATTAAACAACTCCCCATTTCTCCATTCCCCTCAACCCCTGGCAACTACTATCCTACTTTATTTCTAAGAGTTTGACTACCCTAGATATCTTATGTAAGTGAAAACATAGAGTATTTGTCTTTTTTTTGACTGCCTTATTTCACTTAGCCAATCTATGTTTAACTTTTTGAAGACCCACCAAACTGTTTTCCATAGTGGTTGTGCCATGTTACAGTTCTATCAGCAATACATAAGGGTTCTAATTTCTCTACATGCTCACTGGCACTTATTTTTCTCTTTTTCTTTTTCATGATAGTCATCCTAATTGGTGTGAAAAGTGGTGTCTCGTGGCTTTGATTTGCATTTTTCTAAATTACTGGTCATATTGAGCATTGTTTCACATGCTTATTGATCTTTTTTGTATATTTTCTTGGAGAAATGTGTATTTGAATTCTTTGCTCATTTTTGAATTGCATTGTATTTATTTATTTTCTATATAGGGAATATTTATCCCTTCCTAGATATATGATTTGCAAATATTTTCTCACAAGTTGTAGTTTGTCTTTTTACTCCCTTGATGGCGTCATTTTTTGCACAGATGTAAAATTTAAGTCCAATTAATTTTTTCTTTTGTTACCTTTGCTTTGTGTCAATCCAAGAAATTTTCACCAAATCCAGTATAATGAAGATTTTCCACAATGTTTTCTTCTAAGAGTTTTATAGTTTTAACTCTTACATTTAGGTTATTGATCATTTTAAGTTAATTTTTCAATATGGTGTAAATAAGGGTCCAATTTCATTCTTTTGCCCTGGATACCAAGTTTTACAAACACTATTTGTTGAAAAGACTGTTCTTTTCCCATTGAATGGTTTGGCACCCTTCATGTCACAGTCAACCATGTTAGCAAGGGTTGCTCTCTCTCTCT